TGTTGGCCAAAATTATAACTTCTCGTGTATTGAATAAAGAATCGTAATTTTAGTGTGATGCATAAATTTGTATACATATGGAAGAAATTTGTTTCAAAAAGAATGGGTTCCTGGAACGAGTTCTTTTCATAGAGACGAAGCTAGGATCTACAAAAGAAATTTAAAGGAATTTCCTTTAAAAATTAAGAAAAAAGAAACGTGAACAAAAAATTATAAAGAGGTACATGATTAAATTTTACAAAACCCTATTGAAATTTTTTTTTTTGGACTTCAATTATTAATTAGTTTGATTTTATTAACATTAAAAGTTTACCAATGTAATTAAAGGATAAATACAATTTTCAGCTTTAATATTTTCAATGAGTGTATTTTGTCATTAATACTTTTCGATTAAAGTATTGTTAGATTAAAATAATATTCGGCTGAAATACTATATGATAAAAATAAATAAGGTTCGATTAATTTATTTTTCGGCTAAAATGATAAGCGTAGTCGATTCCTAATATTAATTAAAATGAATAATAATTCCTGAGTTTTTTTTTTAATTTTTAATTTATACAAAATTTACGGAATGAAATTTTATTTAAAACTATTAATAGATTAATAATTAGTTAGAATAATTATTTATGAAACCTAATCAATTTGAGAAATTTTAATGCTAAATTATAATGGTCTTATTTATCCCATTTATCACTATTTCAATAAAGGATTATTTTTGAGGCAGTACAATTTTTTGTTATTGGTCATTAATAACGTAAGTGTCACGATAACAAGTGTGTGGGATTATTGATATTCTCGATTTATTGTAGTTTTATAATTTTAAAGCGATTTTATTGGACATTGTGAGTTAAATTAAAAATATAATAAAGTTAAAAAAATGTTTGTCATCAACTTACTTATATATATATTGTATTACAAATTCAATATTATGTGACAAAAATGTTTAATCCAATGAATAATGAGTATGCAAGTTTTCAATAATTAAACGAACATTAGTCATGAACTTTTAGTATAAAAAAAATATAACGAATTAATAACTTAAGCATGTTCATAAACAGCGTTTATGTTGTTTTTTAGACAGGTATATTAATCAAAGGCTATTTTACATTCATATAAAGTACTATTAACTAAACTACAGTAAAATTTATTATTTCTATTCTATTCTTTACTGTGAAAAACATGGTCTTTTTCTAATCATTTTTAATTAAGTATTATTGGTCCGGATAATACATTATTCAGAAATTAGTGGCTAATGATCAGGCTAATAAACTATCTTAAATTGATTAATTATTTGATAATGTGCTTCGAAAACAAAAGAATTAACTATTATTAACTACTAGAATAAACAATTAAGTCAGTGTATCAAACTCAGATAAATGATCCTTTCTCGAAATAAGATATCTATATTATATATTTAAGACGTAAATGTATTTATTAAATAAATTAATCCTTACTATATTTGTATATACATATATTTTCAAATAAAATTGAAATTTGAATAAATTGTTTAATACTTAGGAGTTAGAGATATTTGAACTAATTATTTAAGAAAATCTCATATTTTATTAAATCCCACTTTATGTAAAAAAAAGAAAAAAGATAAATACGTCAATTAAATTTGTTTTATGATCGAAGAGTCAAAATTTTTTGTTTTATGCAATGATAATAATGATTGTAGTTTAAGAGTAGAAAACATTAAGTATATTTTTCATTTAATTGTTTCGTTGAAATAAACAAAAAATAGACCATGGTAGATGTAAATTAAAAACCTTTTTTTTCGTTGTAATTTGGTTTTGGTGAATAATTTATATCATGCATTTAAAAAAGGACACGTGACTAAATTCATTAAAATTTTTATGTAAAAATATACTTGGGAATTTCAGTAGAATACCTGTAAAATAGTTAAAGTATCTACTATAATTTAAATGAATATATAAATTTATTTAAATAAATCCGAGAAATGATTTTAGGAATAATTAAAAATTTTCATACTAGAAAATTAAGCAATCTTTGCTCCTTTTACAATTTTAAAAAAGAATCGAACCTTTTATAGCTTATACTATTTAATACAGTCAGTATTAGAAATTTTGAATACGATACACTTAAGTTCTAATAAAAATATAGCCTATTAGAGAAATTTAATTAAAATACTATTAATATGTGTTTTATTCAAATAAAAATTATTTCTAAGCTTATAAAATGATTTCGAGTCTATAGTTTAGTAAAAATAATATTTAATAATATAAATTTTACATCACAAAATTCGGCATAGGTACCTACTATAGACTATAGGGTCGAGTGCATAGGTGTATCAGCGTTTAGCATTGACAGTAGTGGTTACATTGCTTCGGAAGTATGTGCTATTATATATGCTACTTTTGTGACTATTGAGTTTTTTTTTTTTAGTTTAAAATTGATATTTTAAATATATTATTAAATTAATAAATCTTATGTAATGTTGGTTAAAAATATATGTTTCCATTTAAAATTTTAATTTGGTTACAATTTTAAAGAATAGGATCAAATTTTTTTTTAAATATTAAAACGTTGGATAATATTATTATAAATTTAATAACGTTTTATATTTTTAAAGTTATTGCTTGAGCCATAGTTAAATAAGCACCTTTATAATAATTTATTGTAGAAAGTGTGCAAATTAAATACATCGATAATAAACATGTGTTGATTGTTATAAGTTCCTTTTATTGATATTGTGGAAAGTCGGATAAAACTATTGACATTTTACTGTGAAGTTACTGTGTAAGTAAGTAATATATATATATATTAATTTAATTGTGTTATAATATTAAACATAATTTTGATGTATATACTATATTTAAATTCAACATTAAAAATTGACATAACGTAAGGGCTATCTATGTTAAAAATTAAGGATTCTATAAACAAGGATAAAACATTGGCGAGTTTCCAGTTTAAAAAATTACTTATCTTTTCAGTTCATTAATTTCCTTTGTTTAAGCAAATATGCTCTGAAATAATAAATATCTATTATAAAATTTCTTTTGATATTTACTCAATAAATTATCAAATATACTAAATTGAGTATCATGCTTATTGAGTAAAATTTTCCTACAGTTCGTTTCTGATTGTTACTATAAAAAAATATTATTCATTAGTTTAATTTTACTCTCGGACATAAAGAAACAATAATTATTTTTTAATTTTTGAGTTTAAATGATATTATTTATTATTTAATAAAATAAATTTCCAGTAGTAATTAAAATAAAAATAGATGATAATAAAAATAAAAAATATTAAAATATTAAAATATTAAAATAAAAAAGTAGTTATAACATATTAAATTACATAATTTTTTTAAAACTATTTGAATTAGAAAAAATAATTATATTTTGCAAGTAATTTGAGAATTCATTTCCAACTATATTTTAACTTTAATTGTCAATATCAGCCCGAAATACAAAGGGAATTTTATTTTAATATATAGATTACACTTTGATAGCAACACATTTTAGGTATATAAATTATGATTAAAACCATCTTTGCTTTTTGCATCAATTAGTAATAATTACTAAGTATAATTATTATACTTTAAATGTATTTCTATGAAAATCGACAAATATTCTAACTATAGATCATATTAAATTTTTTTTAGTATTACATCTCAATATTGATAATGATATCAACAATTGTTGATAAATTTGATAGTTATTCTAACTTAAACTGAATATAAATGTTAATAAAAATTTTGGAAATAGTTTTCCTAAGATACACGAGTGTTTCTTTGTATGCTGTTACTTCAACTATATACACACACTAAAAAAACTCATTTTTAAAATCAACAAATTTTTCATTAAAATATGTCAAATATTTTTGTTGGATAAATAGTAATTTTTTTTTTTAATTGAACAGTTTTTTTAATAATGATTTAACAAAATATTTGTTAATTTGATTAATTCTTTTTTATTTTAACAAAATAGTAGTAAATTAAAAAAAAATGTATGGTTTATTTAATAGAAAGTTTATTGAACGTTTCTCGATAACGCATTTGTTGATTTTACTGGAGAATATTTTTCAGTTTATATCGTTAATTTTATATTTATTATAGTTTTATTAGTAAACACGATTTAAGTGTTTAATGAAGTTAAAACCCTGTCAATACAAAAAATACACACGTTTAATAAAATACCATACATTTACCATACTTTTGAATTGGTGATGATTTAAAATATAACAAAATAATCTCTATCATAGTGACAATTTCTTTTTGTAGGCTTTTAAACAGTGTATTACTTAAAGTTGTAATATTAAAATATAATAGATCAGTATTTGGAAAGTGGCATATTAAAATTTAGTTCAGCAAAACTAGTCAAAAACTGATTCTTTGTAAAATGAGAATCTGCTCTAGGCGTATATTTGTGGTCATATTATACGTTATGTTTTACGTTTCATTAAATTAAACGGAAACCTGCTCAAGACTAAATTTTTCTTTTGATCTTTAGCATACCATTTTAAACAGATTTATTATATTAATTAAGTCTCATAAAATTATTACTTTACAAAAGGTTAGTGAGAAACCACAATACTTAATAATTTTCCAGGATACACCAATTCTATTTACGAAAATTGGCTGGCATTAACCAACCTGTTTAAAACCTCGTTGAAAAAAAAATAATTATAAATTAATTCAAACTTAAATTAAACTATTAACCAACAACGATGTTAACTGCTGAACATAAATTATAAAATTTGATTATATTAAAAAGTAAACATGAACAATATAGTGAATGTAAATTAATTAAGGATAAAAATTAAATAAAAAGGCAAACCGTAATGTGTTCATTTAAGTATAAATACTAAATATATTAATAAAATTAAACGCTTATTTTGGAGTATATAAAAGATATACTAAAATCATAATTTATATTTTATATTATATATTTTAATAAGAATAACTGATTTATTTACATTATCGCTTCAAAGTGTTAAATTGATTATGAATAATTTTTTTGTACGCTTACCATTTTATTGTCAATTTATATTTCATTGTATTTGTAGTATTCATATTGTCACTAAATAATAGAAAATTCAAAAGAACTGTGTGTGGACTAGTAATTTTATTTTCACGTAAATGTCGAACCAACAGTTTAGTGCGGCAACTGACACCTGAACGGACCGACCGATGATAAGCATTTTTCACATCTTGTTGACGTTACGCCGTTGCCGAAGCTTCGGTGAGTAATAATACTTGCGCAAAACGCTCAGTGTGTTGCCTGCTGCTGCCACTATTTCGGCAATTAAAATTGCAACTAGAAGCATATATTTATGATTTTATTGTAATATTTAGAGAATATATTGGAAAATGTTTATTATATATAATCACTATATTTATCATGAAAATATAAAATAGAAAAAATTACTGTATATCATTATTATAACACTCATAATTCATTATAAAAATATAAATATAATAATAGACGTTTTATTCACAAATTGAATGATTTACCGACAGCAAAAAATAATATTAATAAAATAATACTGCAGAAAGTTCAATAAAAAATAATTCATCTATACACTATGAGTTACATCTAATTACAATAAAAATTTCACGAGATACATCTTACTGCATTTATTAGTACACTAGATTTGTTTGAAAATGTTTGTGATTAAAGATTCTAAAAAATTATTTTAAATTTGTCTATTTTTATTATTATAAGTACTCAAATTAAATTCATAAAACATACGTATATTTTATGAATTCAATATTATGTTTAAATATGTATTTATTATTATGCAAATTTATGTAATTTTTTCCAAACACAATTTTTTATAAATACTAATACTTATTTTGACAATCATTAGATAAAAATTTGTTAAATAACCTAAAAATATAAGATTATTTTTATGTATATTTTAATAATTATTATAATATTTTAAGGGTGATGTTATAGTAATTACTATATTAGTATTTTTTATTTAAAACTGAATTTCTTACCTCAGTGATAAATAAATATCAACTATATGTATTTATCTGAAATTTTCATTTCTTTTACCATGGTAATGTTTTACTATTAACATTTTGACAATTAAAAGAATATATGTTAAAAAAAGTTTATATGTATATTTTTATAATTCAATAACATTTAAAGTACCTATTAACATGTTTTTTTTTAACAATTGACTAGGAATTAAAATGAATATGCTGACCTTACTTTAATAATTGTATAAATTGCAAAATGAAAATAATGATGTACCTAAACATTATTTTAGTTGGTGTTTCTATAGCTTGGTTTATATTCATTAAAAAAGTAACGCAGACTTTTATTAACCATGTAAATTTATACATTTTCCGTGCAATTAACAAATGTAATGATTTCAAATTATGATTTGATCAAAGTTATGGAGAAATTTAAGAATTAAAACCATTAGCACAAATAAGAGGGATTCTGGAAATTGTATCTTCTCCCAAAATTAAAGTGATTCTTTAATTATTATAGTGGATGACTATTTTTTTCTCGTCATGTTTATTTTGGGTACCTTTTTTGAAATGCTATAACCTCTATCAAAAAAAGTTTCTAGTTGCACCTTTAGTATAGACCTTTTTTTAGTGAAATATGTATTTAATTATTATTAAATTATCTAAATGCTATTTTCTTGACGTTATTATGTGTTTTTAGTTGTTTGAATATTGAAATAAAAATTATTAGATAAACATTTGTAATAAATTAATTATGAAATCTAGATAAATGTTTAAATATTATATGATAAACTCATAACGTTAAAAAAAAATTTACATTGTTAATAGTTTTCCATATTTTTATTAAATTTTCATTAGAAAAATAGTTTAAACAACTAGATGTGGTAAGCTATAATGTTTTTGAATAAATAATTTTCATGCATAGAGACTAAAAGCAGAACTAGTAGTACTTTGTTGAAGTATTATGATGGTAGTCATCGTTAACAGTTGTTCATGTTAGGCATAACAGTACATAAGTACCGTGTCATAGGAGACTTGTGAAGTGATGGGAGTAGCCGCCTGCTTGTTTTGTTGACATAAAATGTAATACTTGTAGATGTTACATAAATACTACTTATATAATATATAAGTAGTACACACTTATATATATATATGAGTGTGTACGTACATATAATGGAAGAATAAGCTTCGTCCCTTCTGTTATGATTTTTAGGATTTATGACCGGTTCATGAATAAACTAAACGTATACCCAAAACTTAAGCTACCTCACTTTGATAAATTTCTATAGACATTTATTAAATTATGGTAGAAAAAATTACCACGAGAGTCAGCTTTGTTTCAAACTTGAAAATCTCAAAAAGCAGGTTTGTTCAGTGATGTATATTTAGGGCGAAGTAAAAACAAATAGTTCTTAACTTCATTTAAAATAAAGCTACTTATTAAAATAGGTATGCAAATAGAATAAAATGATGGAAATGTAGGGTAATTATTAATCTAACACGAATGCCTAACATAAAAAAGCTTATAGTTCTATAAATTTAAGCAACAAGCTTAAAGATAGAATTAAATATATGATAAATTATTTGCTCAAAAGTATAATATTCTTCTTAATACTTTAGACTTTTATTTTTTAACTTATTATTTTAGTTTTATATTTTTAAATATTAAATTTGACTCTGTTAAAAAGTTTATAAATTACAGTTTTTTATGGTTTAAGTTTTATAATGATGGAACTTTTTGTTTCACCATGCTCGTTTTTATTTGTTGAAAACGTATTTTTAAAACAAATGTAACTTTAATACAAAGACAAATTGGTCATTTTCGTATTAACTATTTCCTTTTTGCCTTTAAGTTCTAAGAATTTCGACTAATAATTGTATTAATATTTATCATATTATAATTCATAATAAAAAGTTTGTAATTTATAGATGCTATACAAAAAATTATTTGATTTTATAAGCTTAAAGACTTTAAATTGTACTAGTCATAAACCTTAAGATTGGTGACTAGTAAGAAAATACTAATATAATTGTTTTTCTATTTTCTTTCTCATAATGAATTAAAACTAGCTAAAATGTTTGGTTACCTTACATGGAAAAATAGAAAGTTCCACGAATTTCTGATGGCAAACATAGTGACACTTAAATTAAGATAGTATATCTACAAAAAAAGTATATAATAGGAAAACTTGGCTTTTTCAACTTAACTATACTGAGTACTGATAAAAACTAAGAATTAAATTGTTTTAACATTTTAACAATTTTGACAATAATTTAAGATTTTTTTTAATGCATTTATAATATTATAGCTAATTGGGTAAATAAAAGTTTTTAAAATTGCATCAATTAATCTTTATTTTTTTATACTTCATGACTTTCAATTTTTGTTTTTTTTTTTGTATTTTCATCATCTATCTTTACTGTCATAGGTTATTTATTTATCGTTAAGTATTATTAAGAGGTCGTGGAAGATGTCATACCTTCCTTCAGTATTCAAAAGTTTATAAAAAGTCTTATAATAGTGTAAAAAAACTGTTTTTGTATGTAGGAACATGTGAAAAAAGTGAAACTCCTATTATTTAGAACGGATATTAATGTAAATCATTGATTTCTTCTTTTAAACTTATATAATATTCTTCCATTCCAGTAAAAACAACAACTTTTATAAAAATAACTTCGCATTGATGCTTAAAATACAAAATAATTAAAGTCTGTAATAGTGGACGCCTCTGCTATGTTATAAAATGTATTTATTTTGAATATTCAGTATATAATGATGAAAATATAAAAATATTGCATAAAGTTATATTGTAAATCTTAAATTACAAAATGAAAAAAAAAAAACAACTTTTAAATAATTTTATTCCATCAACGATAATTCTCAAAGCTATAAGCAAAAATATTATCACCAGATAAATGGGAAAATAGATTATTTATTATCAAAACATTTTTACATGTAAGTAGTATTTAAAAAACAATATATTTATTTAATGTTTTGTGGCCCATAATTAATCGTAAAATTGTATATTAACTATTAAAAAATTGCTATATAAATATATAAATGTTATATTTTTTAAATAGAATCACCAATAACGACCCAAGTAAGGATTGTTCGTATAAACTTTGAAAATATTTGCAATTTTTTTCTGCTTTTTTTCAATATAATATATTATACATAACTTCATATTCAAATTTTATACAATGTTGAACATTTTTGACTTTTTTTTCGATTTTTAATTTCTGGTTTATTAATATTTTTAATCAATTATTATATAAATTAAATTATTAAAAATGTTCAAATGCTTAAGAGATAGAAATTAGTTTCTGATGAAATAGTTTGTGAGCTAAATTCTTTTTAATACTAATATAGTAGATATGCAATTTGGATGAGCTATTATGCTCACACATGGTCTTTTATAATTCAGATTAAATTTTATTTATTTATTCTAAATATTTTAATGTTTCAAACATTTAAACGTTTTGCACCTTTGGCAGTGCTATGACGTAAAAGTGTATTGCCATAGGCTAATATTGTTATTCACATTTCTTTAGTTGTATCCCAGATGAAAACAATTTTTTTAAATATAATTTATATATTTTGATATTAGAAGTGATAAATTTATTTTTGCCGATTGAATAATTTTTTTTAATTGTATGACCTTTTTTTAATTATTATTTTTTTTGTAGTATTCTCTTCTATTAAAAAATGGCCGACTATAACTATTAAATTTTGACAAGTAGGCCGGTGTTACACCCCTCATAACCACCTCTTGGGACGATCCTATTCAATTTCATTTCATTATGTTTACTGTGCTTATACGTATTTAATTAAATTTTTTTAATTATCGAATTAGTCTTACTGTAAAATTTATAATAAATGTTTTCATTTTAATGTAATATTAGATGAACTTGAAATTTCATCATTCAATTTTTAAGGTATTAAAAATAATCTAGGATAGTTAATTCTAATTACGTCAACATTTATTTATATTAAAAATAAGGTAGGTGTTATATTGGTTTTATAGATTTGATAAATTATATGTATTATTTATTCTGAATTATAAAAAAAGTTATTATAATTTATAAATTTAAAGTATGTCATAATTTATTTATTGATTTGCTCATTTTATTAACTATTAATAATCAACTATTTTTAGATATAATAATAGACAAAAGATTTTTGATTTAGTAATTTTTGTGTTAGTACATTAAAAAACTAAATTTTGATTTTTGTAAATTAATTCCGTTGTTTATAATTTTTCTCA